ATTTAGCTAGTCGTCGGGTTTAACACTTTTAGCCTATTTAGCTAGTCGTCAGGTTTAACACTTTTGAGCCTGTTAAGCTAGTCGTCAGGTTGAACACTTTTTTAGCCTATTTAGCTAGTCGTCAGGTTTAACACTTTTTTAGCCTATTTAGCAAGTCATCGGGTTTAACTTTTTTAGCCTATTTAGCTAGTCGTTGGGTTTAACACTTTTTTTAGCCTATTTAGCTAGTCGTCGGGTTTAACACTTTTAGCCTATTTAGCTAGTCATCAGGTTTAACACTTTTTTAGCCTGTTAAGCTAGTCATCGGGTTTAACACTTTTTTAGCCTATTTAGCTAGTCGTTGGGTTTAACGCTTTTTTAGCCTATTTAGCTACGACGGTTGACCCGTTTGTCCTTCCTTCGTCAGGACTCACATCCAGGAGCAGGTCAAGCGGGCTCAGAGGCAGTTCCGCAGTCTACCACCGAACCACCAGAAGTTGCTGCCAGGGTTTCTGTCCAACCTGAACTACATCGGTCAGTGTGCAACGTGCAACCAGGACATTCTGGAGGACATCGTACAGAACAGCCTGCACATGTTCGAGAACACCGGGTTCGGCGAGAGGGTAAGTCACCGCTAGCTAGTGGAAAGATGTGTGGGGGGAATTTTTTTGTTTTTTTTTTTTTTTTTTTTTTTTCAGGAAGATCCGATGAAGCTACACCCGCCGTCTACGTTTGACATGGACAAGCTCAAGTCGACCATAAAGCAGTTTGTCCGAGACTGGAGCGAAGCCGGCCAGTCGGAGAGGGACACCTGCTACCTGCCGATCATCCAGGAGATCCAGAGGCTCTTCCCCAACGACCAATAGTAGGAAACGCACAGAGAACGCTTCGTACATCCATCGTGACACGAACAAAACGGCACAAAAAAAAAACATAATTTAAAAGAGCGAAAAACAAATACTATCAATGAAACAAACGGCTAAAGTTAGCATCTAGCAGTGACGTCGATGATACAGGTACGTGGTATTACTGGCACGTGGTATTACTGGTACGTGGTATTATGAAATAGGTGAACTGATCGGGGTCACAAGGTCGCAGAAGAATGAAACAGAAGGCTAAAGTTAGCATCTAGCAGCGACGTCAAGGAAACAGACGGCTAAAGTTAGCATCTAGCAGTGACGTCAATAAAACAGACGGCTAAAGTTAGCATCTAGCAGGGACGTCAGTGAAACAGACGGCTTAAGTTAGCATCTAGCAGTGACATCAATGAAACAGACGGCTAAAGTTAGCATCTAGCAGNNGCAGTGACGTCAATAAAACAGACATAAAGTTAGCATCTAGCGGTGACGTCAATAAAACAGACGGCTAAAGTTAGCATCTGTGATGTCAATAAAACAGAGGGCTAAAGTTAGCATCTAGCGGTGACGTCAATGAAACAGATGGCTATAAAGTTAGCATCTAGCAGTGACGTCAATAAAACAGACGGCTAAAGTTAGCATCTATGAAATGCTAAAAAGACGGCTAATGTTAGCATCTAGCAGAAAGTTCTCTGTAAATATTCCGAGCGGTGCTTTTTTTTTTAAATTTTAATAATCCTACCATGTACGATATACATATTAGCGATGTTTAATTGTAGCGCTGAAACAAATACTCGACTCTTACGAATTAAGGAAATTATTAAATAATTAAAACTTTGCTGAATGGAATCGCTTCGTTCCTGTCATTTCGCTGCCGCTAAACACCGGTTCCGCTAACGTGTTCCTTACGGAGGTGTTATTGTGACGCACACGTCGCCAGGACCGCTGTGAGCGAATATTAAAATACAAATATAAAAAGGTTTAACGAGAAAAAAACACAAGCCGCGCTGTTTATTAAACCACAAGGTAGAACTTTAGAAGAGACGAAAACAATCGTTATACACGAACGTATCGACAGCTGCAGCGCTAGTTGAAGTGTGTTACGGGAGGAAAAACCCAACGTAAAGTTTTATTAATAGTAAAATTAACTATCGTGACGGGCGTTTTATAGCTACACCGTAACTCCACTGACGAATATGTCCGTGAAAATACACAAAAGCAGACTGCGTTTTATAAAGTATACTACGACGTGTTTGTTCACTTACAGTGACGTCACTAAACCCTCATTACATCATCATCACTCTTATGACTTCAGCACTACCGTGTTTTCCATGTTGTATTTGCACTCTTGTGTGTTTTATTATGTCAGTGATGTGTCTAAGGTTAGCGTCCTGGTTCCGGGGGCCGGACTCGGACGCCTAGCGTGGGAAGTCGCTCGGCTGGGCTACACGTGTCAGGGCAACGAGTGGAGCCTCTTCATGCTGTTCTCCTCCAACTTCGTCCTCAACAGGTAACGGGCCCTGCGAATACCAACGCTGTCACGTTTACGTTACGTTACCAGACCCCCCTCCCCCGACTCACGCAACGTTTTCCGATCAGGTGCGAGAAGGAGAACGCCCTGACCCTGTTCCCGTGGATCCACCAGTTCAGCAACAACAAGAAGTCCTCGGACCAAACGCGATCCGTCACCTTTCCGGACGTGAACCCTCAGGGTCTACCGCCCGACTCCGACTTCTCCATGGTGGCAGGAGACTTTGTGGAGGTCTACACCGAACCAGGTGAACCAATTGGGGTCACAAGGTCACAGAAGAATGAAAAACATCTTTAAATTTTTTTATTTTTATTTTTTTTCGCTGCCTCTGCCAGTGTCCTGGGACTGCGTGGCCACGTGCTTCTTCATCGACACGGCTCATAATGTCATCGAGTACGTGGAAACCATCTGGAAGATTCTGAAGCCCGGCGGAGTGTGGATCAACCTGGGTGAGCGGACCGGCGACTTTACGGGCCGACAGAATTCGGTCGAACTCCAGACTTGAGACGAGACACGGTTGTCTCCAAATTTCACACCAACGCTCTCCATCTTAGGACCAGTATTACCACGTACCAGTAATATCACGTACCAGTACCACCATGTACCACTATTACCATGTGCCAGAAACCACAAACACATTTTTAATGATCCCAGTACTGCAGTATTTGGTCTCTTAAGTACTCTAGTACTCTTGTACCAAAGTAAAAAAAAACACTCACACCTTACAAAAGTAGGGCTTGCAAAAAAAGTGTCCCCACCAGTATAGCTACACCAGCATTTTCAGGCGACTGTATTAAGAAACTTTGTTTTCAGAGCTGAAAACCACAGACCATGATCGTGTCTGGGAGTTTTTTTTTTTTTCTGACTCCTCCTCCTCTTCCTCCTCCTCCAGGTCCACTGCTGTACCACTACGAGAACATGGCCAACGAGCTCTCGGTTGAACTCAGCTACGAGGACATCCGAACAGCCATGGTGAAATTCGGCTTCCACCTGGAGGTAAAAACCCCAACGACCGGCGCCAACACCTAGCCGTCGTAACGCGTTCGCCCTTCATCATCATCATGGAACGTTCATATATTTCCCGGCAGGTGGAGAAGGAGTCGCTGCAGACCACGTACACGGAGAACAGCCGCTCCATGCTGAGGTACGTCTACGACTGCGTGTTCTTCGTCGCACGCAAACCTGGGGGCCGCTTCTCGGACGGTCGCGGGGACGACGACAGGCATTGGAAATCTCCCCTGCCGGCTAAGACGCCGCGCCGCGAAGGTCCGGACAGTCTGACGTGACGGCAAATGATCTTCGGAAAAAGAAAATAAAGGCGGAAAAAACAGTGACTATGAAGGAGATCAAAGACAAACACAGAGGAAAAAACGTCCATTTTTAACCGTTACAGCGTGTGTATGTGTGTGTGTGTGTGTGTGTGTGAATGCAGGTGTTAAATCGTGTCATCTTTTAAAATGTATTTATATTTTCGTTACATCGTAAACCGAGTCCGTAAATGTTTGTTTTCTTATCACGTATTGAAATGAAGATATTTTTTCTTTTAATAAAAAAAAAAACAGTTCCTGTGTAATTCTTGTGAGATCCACAGACCAGCAGGGGTCAGTAAGTTTCTTATTTCCATTCTCATTCTAAGCAAAACAAAGAAACATTCGATATGTTCTTAAAAACATATCGTAGATTACGAGTATTATTTTAGACAACACTTGAGCTAAGCACGAACGATGCTAAAGCCTAGCTTAAACCTCTCCCGCACTGAAATCAAACGAACACGACCAGACGCCATTTTCTAATCGAATTTACATAAAAAACAAACCGTAAGTTTTAAGTATAAATTTACGGTTTATATACAGCGGATCTGGCAACCCCTGCTGACAACAACTACCACATTAAGAGAAGTGGTTTTGCTCAGGGTTGCCAAGTGTTATTTTAAGAAACGTTGGACTTTTTTTTCTTTAAATAAAATTGCTTTAAAAACACGTACTCGTTGCGATAATTATCGATTGATTGTTGAAAGAAAAAAACGATTATCAGGTTGTAGCAACAAAAACGCAAGGGCTACGTTCAGATTAGGAAAGACAACAGAGACCGAGAGTTGAATCGGAAAGGTCCCCGCGATGTTTTAATTATTAAATGCGCGCGTGACGTGTACGTAGCTCGTTCAGTTACGTGAACGTTTTCCTCAAAAATTATTTTTTGGATGTTGGTGGACGTATGGCTTGTTTCTCCCAAACAACTTGGCAACACTGGTTGTGGGCGGGGTTAGCCTCCATAGCTGTGCTCTGATTGGCTCAGAAGGATTCCCTCGCCTGAATTTTAACTGCGTTGTTTAAGGAAAGAGGAAAAACGACACGGTCTTAAACTCGGAATTATTTTTTTATTCGTAACATTTTTATTAACAGTTTAGCGGAGTTGACGCCAATGGCGAAAAGACGCGCCGAGGACTCGCTGTTGTTCGAGACTTCCTCCAAAAAACCCTGCCGGCTACACCACGCTGCTGACACGGTGTTGGAGAACGTGTCTGCCGGCGTGGGTGTGTGTCTGAGCCCGGTGTCTCTGCCGGACGGATGCTGTAGGAAGCGGCGGTACCATTCGACGGAACCGGAGCGAAAACACGAAACGGCGGGTTTTCGTGTTGCGGACAAACGGAAGAACGACGCTGTAGAAGAAGAAGAAGTTCTGACGGTTTCTGGAAAGTACGAAAACAGCAGTTTAACATCGAGCGACAGAAAACGACCCCACGAAGAACCGTTGGATTTAAACACGTTAATTCCTGAAGCTACTAAGGTAAGTTTTTTTTAAGTATCACAAATCAGCGTGTTTATTACGCATTGAGGCGGGTTGATGTAATAGCAGCAAATGACCAGCAGGCGTCGCCCTGGAGCTGCTGCTGAAAGTTCCAGTGCTAAAAAAAATAAAACGTAAACGCAACATAATTAACTCCGTCCCTCCCCACTAGGGGGCGATATAAAATACGAATAATTAATTTTTTTATAATATAAAATACTGGTTTTATTTTTTTTAATAAATATTGTAGTTCTGTTTTTAAACTTCGAATTCTTCACAGTCCATTTTTTTTTTTTTTTATTCCCCCTCAGGTTTCTGACGGAGACACTACCGCTGACGACGGTGTTTACAACTCCTTCCAGTTCTGGAGAGCCCCCTTACCAGAGCTTGACCCCGCGCTGCTGGAAGAACTCGGCACGGAGTGCGACGCAGAACGAAAGACTAAAGTCAAGAACTCGTCTTCCGACGCTATGGAGACGTGAAGATGTGTACGAAGCAGTGTCTGCGCTGGTCCGCGCTAACATCTGTCGGGGCGAACGCCATAATAACTGGACACTCTGGACGTCTCTTGCCAATCAGGAGCAACGTTGATAAAAAAAAAGACTCCAGGTTCGGTTCTTGTTCGAGGCTAGCTCTAAACTCATATTCAGGACCAAGGTTAGCAAGCTTTCCAGGTCACATGATGTTCACTGACCAATGGGAGTTCAACACAGATGTTATGAACCTACTTCCTGGAACATCGCCCATACTAACCTTCTCGTTCTACACATCTTCGCAGTAGATTCATTGTTAGCGCGAGTGCGTGTTTAGGTACAGTCTCTGGTGGTGAGAAAAAAAAAAAAAGATTTGTCACGTCTGACATCAACAACAATATGTTAGATTTCAGTGGTTTCCAGTGGTTTTTTCACATTTGGTTGGGTCTATTCTTGAATACTGGAGAATACTTCTCCAGTTGTTTATTTTGCTTTATTGTTGGACCTGTTTTGTTTGACGTTTGTTATTAAAACAAATCGACCATCTACCGCCTGCTTCCACTCCTTGCCTGAAGACACCTCACACAGCAAGAATCTTTCAAATAACAAACTGTCTATTTTGTAGAAAAAAAAGTTCTGTTAAAACTTCGTGTGAGTTCAATAAAAACGATCTTGTGTCGTACTTGATTTTGCCAATTGTCAAATTTTTTTAAAATTATTTTCTTGCTCGACTTGATCTCCGAGGACGGACATTCGCACCTTGCTCTTCAAAGTACAACAAAGGAAAGGACACGTAGATGTCGGGTCTACGCGGACTTAAGGAAAAGTCGCAAAATGATCAAAACAAAGAGAAAATATGTGAAAAAAGAAATAGAAATTAAAAGTTATACTTTACGAGTTGATCAAAATCCTAACTCCTCATGACACCCGTGAGCCCGAGGTTCTCCTGCGATTGTTCTCCATGGATGTCGAGACGTTTCACCTCTGAATTTAACACTAAATGCACCTGCGGGGGGAAAAAATGGCAGGAAACAATTACTGGCACAAAACACAATGACAAGATCGCGATTGAACGCGACAGGACCGCGAAGGTCCAGCGACAAAAAAAAAAAGATTTGGAGTGACCGAGTTGGTGATTAAGTATAAATAAATAAGTATACAAGTGACTAAATCTTCTTCCAGCTGTTCCCTGCAGGGGGCGCCATCTGCCTCCATCTCATTACATTCACCTCTACTTCTAACCAACTCCACCAACTCTTATTTACACACATGTATTTCCGATTATTTATGTTGCGCCTGCTGACCATCCTTGCCACTGGGTGGCATCCTGAATTATCCAGCCTGTAGCATGTATTCATACCAGAACCCGGATTAAATTAAAAAACTAATTTGGGATTAGCCTGCCTCATATTTAGACACAAAGCTAAGCTAGGCTACGACGTTTAGCTATAAATGCAGTGTAGGGCCACGAAATTGATGGGAAGAAAAAAACAGACCAGGAACTCTCCTAGAATGTCATTGGATGTTTATCAACGACTATTCCCTGCTACAAATCCACTATGTGTAAAAAATGGCCACACACGTGAAGACAGAAATTCACAACGGCTACGCACCATAATCGCAACAATTAAAGGTCGGGCCCAAAAAAAGAGCCCAGCGTTACATGGTGGCAAAAATATTAGTAAGCTAATGCTAGTTTAGTGTCCACCCCCAGCTCTTCAACGCAATTGGGAAACGCCAGTTGTCGGTCGAGAAGAGGCTGCCGTTAGCCATTAGGGGTTAAGGCAAGACGTGAAGCGACATGACGTGAGTGAAACGCTTTGAAACTAAGTAAACAGCTGGTGCCAGCCCTACGGATAGCATCGGATCGACAGTGGCGTATCCTAGTGTCGGGTGAGGCGGCCGCGGCGACTTTCACAGCGAAGCCCCGACGACCAACCAGCTTCCCGACGCGCGATGCTACTTTCCTACCACTAGTCTCATCAGGGAGAACATGCACACGATAGTGATGACCACGGGTAACCGCGGCATCTGCCACTTGCTATCCTCGTACCGGGGCTCGTCTCGCTGAGCCTCCAGCTGCTTTTTGAGAACTTCCACCTGGTTTTTCAACTCACATATGATCTGGTATCTCTTCTCCCGAATTTTCTGGTTGCAGGCGTTTTCCATGCTCTGCTGCGTTATGATCTTCTGACCGTTCTCCACCTGGCACTGGAGGTCCTGCATGGCCGTCTTCATGCCACTGTTGTCCTCGTGCAGCTTCCGCCTCAGGGAGGCCACTTGCCTCAGCTGGTCTCGGATCTTCTTGTTCTTGTCCTTCAAGACCGTTTCGTTCTCCTGGAGTTCAGCGACCAGGTGCGTGAGGTAGCGCACCTCCTCCTCCTTGATCTTCACCAGGGATTCCACTCTGGTCAACTTCTGGATGACGTCGTCCTTCTCCCTCAGGGCCTTCTGAGCGTCCTCCACCTTGTACTGGAGGTGGCACACCTCCTTCCTGAGGTTCTCCACCTCCCGCTGCTTCCTGTCCAGCAGGAGCTGGAGGCCGGCCACCTCCTCGTTGTGGTGCTTTCGCTCCAGTTTCATCCTCTTCTCCTTCTCCTGCAGGGCGGTGTTTCTCGCCATCAGGTCGTCGATCTCCTCCTGGGCCTTGCACCGCGCCGCCTCCGAAAAGGAGTTCTTGCGCGTCAGGAACTTCTTGTAGTCCTGCAGGTCCAGCACGGCGTCCAGGAGGTCCTTGTTCTCTTTGGACTGGTTCTCGAGCTTCTGTTTCAGTTCGTCCTTCTCGTTCCGCAGGGCCACATTTTCCTCCTGGAGTTTTTCGGAGGGCTTTTTCTCTCCTGTGTCCTGCTGATGTATAGCCATGATATTCTCTGAGGAACTTTCGTCCTCCTCCTCCTCACCGCAGCCCGGGGGCGGGGTCTCTGACTCGTGTTCGTGTTGTGCTCTTTGGGTTTTTGGATCAGTTGACGCCCATCATCGTGCTGCGCTAAAGACTTCCACTGCTGTGTCCGTCCTTTCAGCCTTTGGTTGTTGCTGAGGTTGCGAGGGCGACACCGGTACACGTGGTCTGAGGTGACATCACGGGACATCAAAGGCAGTCGGCGGTGGCTTTTGTTTATTGTGACGTCACGATGCAGCCACACGAGGTCAGCTTCAGGGAGAGGGTCGGGATGATCGGAAGTTCGGGATGATGGGGGAGGGTGGGGGGGCATCTGACGGAGGACAGTGGTAGTGGTCTCCAAACATGTTCCGGCACCCCCCATCCCCCCTTAATAGATAGAACCATTGTCTACCACATCAATGTAAACAGATTACTAGCTATTGCGTCTACCCCCCTTTGTTCCTCCCCCACCTTCACCCCCCCAATCACTCTCCACTTTGGGAAACACTTTTTATGTACATTTAATAAGAACAACAATCAGTATTTTTAACATTTCTATTAACATATGTACATATATGTCAATATATATATATGTGTGTGTATATTTTTTCGTAATATATTTTCAAATGCACACATTTCCATATATGAACCATGTGGTTCATATCATATTTACATTCACTTAAAAGACAGTACAACTCGATGTCACGGAAACACTGCCCCCTGGTGGCAGTAGACATTTGGTTTGTGACGTACCCCCCTGCCCCCCAGAGCAACGTGGACCAGCCGGAGGACATCCATACGGCTAGGCCGGGTGTCTCCTGGTCCAAGGAGGAGGTCAGTAAAAGTCCTGGGGGCCCAGATGGATGATGAGGGGCGGGGCCACAGCCTGGGGCAGCTGGTAAAAGGCATGGTCCAAGTACAGACCACCTGCAACGAGAGCAGGACGAGGTTTGAGAACTAGCCTCAAGGTAGGCAGGGTGAGACAGACGGGGTGGGGTGAGAGTGAAACGTAAAGGTGGGTGAGGTTTTTTTGGGGGAGTGGACTGAATGTTTTCAGTCCTTAATCTTTATTAAACCCACCGGGTTTAATAAAGATTAAGGACTGAATGGACTGAATGTTTTTTACAGGCGGGTGAAAGGGTGAGGTTTTTAGTATTGATGGGGACAGGGTGAGTGTTTAATAACGATGGGGGGGACAGATGGGGAGACAGGGTGATGTCTTACTGTAGGCGGGGATGGTTCCTGCAGGACTGGGACCATATGAGGCACAAAAACCTAATGATGAGACAGAGAGAAAAGGGGGGAGGAGGAGGGTGAGAGAGTTTTTCAAACTTGTCTTGACTTGTCTATTTTTTACCGACCCTGAGGATCTTCACTTCAAGTTGGGCTAAAAGGAGTAAACAATTTTTTAAATTTTAGTTTGTCTCTCACCCGGGGGGAAGTAACCGTGTGTCTGTGTGGGGGTAATGTAGTGGGTCCGAGGGATGACAGGAAGTCGTGGCGGTCTGGCGGCGAGGGCAGGGATCATCATCACGGACGTCACCGGTTTCTGCACCTGGACATGCGTTAACGTGACGTCACGGATGCTTGGGTTTTTTTTATGTCAAACTGTAAATATAATTTTTTTTTTTTTATCCTCACTGCGGCGTTGACTCGTTTCTTCTTGTTACTCGGAGCCTTGGCGCCCGAAAACAGACTGTTGAGGGCCGCCAGCGCGGCGCTCGCTTTGGCCACTTTCTTATTAGGACCCGTTCCCCGGAAAACCCGCTTGTCCACCTCCACCTGCGAGACAAAGCACCGGGTTTTAAAAAGACCAGGTGACGCTGTCGGGTCAGATGAGTTTTCACTTTCAAACCGTGTTTTTAAGGACAACTGTTTGGAGGCAAAGTGAGAAAAAAAAACTGTAGGCCAGTTGTGTCCAAAGTCTGGCCCATGGCCCAAATGTGGTCCATGTTTAAATTTTTTACGGTCCACAACCCGAAACAGGAATTGGTGTCCAGAAACCCCCCCCCCCCCCCCCCCAAATATTTAATTTCATCAAATTAAATTTTACGTCATCCTTCGGACGTGAACAACAGGATATTGAGATTTAGCCTCAATTTGATGAAATTAAAAATTTTCCAATTTTATTGGTTCGAAGAAATGTCACGCAGAACAATTCGGACCTCACAAACTTTTCTCGCTATCAAATCTGAGCCTCTGTGAAAAAAATTTGGACCTGCCCCCCCCGCAGTAAGCAATCTCCAAAGAAACGTGCGTGCGTGTCAGAGATCGTACCTCGATGACGAAGCGTTTGTCGTAGCTGCCGCCGCTCTCTGACTTCAGCTCGTACTTCAGGCCACGCCGTTTTTCGTTCAGCTCCATCACGGGGTTCTTCCCTCCCGCGGTCAGGATGGGGCCGGGGGCTCTTGACTAGACGGATGGAGACGGAACCCGCATCTCAGGACTCTGAACCTTCGTGAGTTTGTGTTCGTGTGTGCGATTTCCCACCTCCTGTGCGTCCGTGCTGGAGGCGACGGAGGCGGAGATGGAGCTCGTCAACATCCTGTCGTTCTTTCCTTCACAGTCGGACTTTTCGTCAGCACTCGGGGAGTCCTGGTTTCCATGACCGCTGGGAACGTACCCCAGTGACTGAAGGGCCTGGAAACACGTAAGTCACACTTTCGTTTCCGATTCCGATATCAACAGATACCGATATGTGGGCCTGAAAATATTTATTTATCTGTACGAAAAACTGTCCGAGTTGCTGGCACCAGAATCCCCTGATTATTGAAGTAAAATTCATTAAATGCGCTGCAATGCTGCCACCTAGTGACTTTCATTTTCACGTACAGCCGTTTATCTAGAACAGTGTTTCCCAACCATTATTAAAAATGTACTCCTGTTTACTAAAACAAAAGACAGGAATTGAAGAAAGACACTCACACGAGCCATTAATAGCCATCTGCTGCCACTTAGTGGAAGAGGATTTAGTTGCTCTGCTTGTCACGTATTTACGAAACAAAGAGAAAAATATATGCAATTAATAAATAAAAAATAGTTTTGGGACCAATTAAGTGAAAGCGGATCATTTTCCACGGCACAGCTAACGATCTCTCATGGTACGCTAGTGGGCACCGGGACAGAAGTTGAGAATTGCTGCTCTAGAAAACTTTTTTTAGGGCAACATATCGTTTGTCAAAACCCAGACATTGCGATATCGGGATTTCTGAGGAAAAACAGATTTTGACAGATATTACGATGAATATGCGATGATATCTGTCGGGCGATATTATCGGACGACTAGTGTAAAACAGTTACGTAAAAGATCAGAAATACACCTTGAGGGCGACGTGGAGCTTGGCCGTCCTCTTGGAGTTCCCCGTGGCCTCGAAGGTGCTCCCCCGTACGTCCACAGACACGGTGAAGAGCGGGGCGTGGACCGGACCGGACTGGGCCAGGAGCCTGTACTGAAGTCCCGGGTGCATCTGGTTCAGACGCATCAGCGCGTTCATGGGATGGTTTGGGTCCGTCATCCTCCGGTCCAGGACTGAAGACGTTCGGGAGACATGTAACACGTCAAAAAGACACTAGTGCGTTACTGCAGTACTTTGAAGTACGACGTATTTTTTCTCATTCGAACAACCTCGTAATTGAGTAAAATCTCTAGGCCTGTTTAGTTGAAAAAAAAAAATCCCCTACTAGATCTTTCACTTTTCAGAGCTCTCTGCTGCCACCTAGCAGAAGAGGATTTAATTGTTCTGCCTTTCGTGATCTGACGATCAAAAAAATAAATAAAACGCAATAAATAAAATACCTAACAATCTCTCACGTCACACTAGGGTACCACGGTACGGAGGTTGGGAATCACCGCCTCAAGCTCAGGCCCGGGGGTCCAAATCTGCCCCGCGGTGTAATTACATCTGGGCGGCGAGATCACTGTCCATTGTCAATGTCATGCGACAAACGGAGCTTCGTGATTGGCTGTAGCCTTGAGACGTATCAATAGGCAGAAGGTGACGTACCTTTGACCCTCTTGATCAAGTCTCTGTCCTCCGTCCACACTCCGTCTCGTATTCTCTTCTGACATCCTGCCATGAACAGAGAAACTGGCTTGATGGCATCATCATCATCTTCATCATCATCATCATCATCATCACCACACACACCTTCTTGCGACCTGGTGGAGGACCTGCTCACAGGTAGAAGATCCATGTTCAAGACCTTGTGGAGTTGTCCAAAGGCGTGGAGGCGTAACGCATGCTGACGAAGAGGAGAAGGGGTGAGGAAGAGGGGCACGGAAGGAGGGTGAGGAAGGAGGGAGGAGGAAGAGGAAGGAGGAAGAGGAAAGAGAAGAAATGGTTAAAAACAACCCGAAAACCCTCTCATATACCGCTGCGATTGATACCCTCTCCGACTACAGTCTTTATTCAGCGGGATGTCTTGTCCTAGAAACATGAAGGTAGTGCAGCGTTTCTCAATCTGAGGGGTGCAACCCCGTTAAATATTTCCCCTTAAAGGACACAGCTAAACAACCAGCTGACGGCGACCGCTAGTGTCCACCTGTAGCAGTGCAGCCGCGCACTTCTAAAATGATGTCCTGTTAGCATTAGGATCAGGGCTGGGGTAAGACTTTATTGTGCTGCGCCTCAGAGGCGCCCCCTGTGGTGTTATTGTACACAAGTATTGTATGCGTTTTAATTAAACCACTCACTCATTGTGGGCCCTCTAGAGGCCGCTGTTGCGATGAAGTGTCCTGACACTTTGGAGTTCAGACGTTAGCTCAGGGCTCAGAGAATTTTTATGGAGTTGCTTTAAATAAATCCCCCCCCCCC